TAACCACAAAACAACCACTTCTCTAACATATTCATGGAATTAACATCGTTACATGTACTATCTAATTTGAATCAATCCCGAATGGATGAGTTTACTCCGGGAACTTCTTCATCGACTGTAACATTATCATCGTCCTCATCATCAACAATGTCGATAACTTCACCGAAATCAACATCATCATTGTCCTCCTCGCCATCATCTTCTACAATATCTCCGACATGTTTACCGACATCGTCATCGTCAACAACAGCGACAATGACAACAACCACACTAAATGATACAGATCCATGTCGTTCATTTATGATTCAGGATATTTTAGATAAATCAAAACATACTACTTATGCGAATCAGTATAAACATGATAGATTATGGAAATTGAACAATGAACACGGGAATACATTATCTATTATTGATCAACACAATAAAAATCGGATTCAGTTGAATGAAATGAATGATAATAAATTTAATTTGAAACGGAAATATTTACATCAAAGTAATTTAACTGATCATCATAGTAATAATTATTATAAATGTTCAGTATTATTTGAAGATGGAAGCAGGCAGGAGATGATGACATCGACTGTGACGACGACTTCGGCGGCGACTACAGCGACGATGAGGCCGACAGTAGGTGAAGATTGTGATTTACAATTCAATGAACAAATTGTTGATAATGAATTACAATTGATAAGAGGAAATTTAAAAGAATTTTATTCTGTAACAGGTAAATATGATAATATTTTATATCTTTTGAAAAAAAATGTGTACCTAATTATCAATCTTTGTGTTGCATGAATTAATGAACTTATGTGTGGACTGATTGAGATATTGTGTAAAAGTACTCATGTAGTGAAGGAGAACACAGGTGGGGCAACCGAATTGTATTTAACGAAAATTACAGAGTTAGTTACTCAGTAAAATAGGAAAACCATATCGTAAATTGTTCATTTGCAAAATATCAGTTCATCATATCGAACTGGACTGACTGTTCCTGTTGTCAAACATCAATCCATTGTCTCACACCACACTCACACTGAAAAAGGTGTCATTATTTGAGTCTTCAACCTAAAGGTTTCCGCTCAAAAGTGAGTGCAGCAACGTAAGTAGATATTGTTCCATTGTAGCCATTGACTAACATCAATCCATCAGGATCCTGGAACTGACGTACACCATTAGTTAGGGAATTAATGTTTTCCAACTCATCTAGATGGATTCTCTGTATCCAAATAAATCGATTAAAGCTCTTCAGGGTCATTGGTTTTTTGTCTTCTCGACTTGATAATTAAAACTTCACCATAAGAAATCAGCCAGTAAGATTTACCTCAGAGTTATTTTATATATACATGGCCATAAGAGTTCATTTACAGTGGAATAGTGGACTTCATTCACTTCGAAACTGTACCAAAGTATTTAGCTGCTCATATTCACTAGTGAAATTCTGATAATACTTGCGATTCTTCAGTTGAATCCCAAATTGACATTGTCTTTATTCAATAGCTTATATTCAGTAATTTTTAGTGTAAGCATATATCAACAAGTTCCTTCTTTTCATTTTGAACATCAAAAGCATATATGTTATATTCTTGTCCAGAGGTTAGGCATTCGTGCGCAAAACTAACGGTCCTAGGTTCGAATCCTGCAAAAGGCAGGAGTCGTGGATACACACAACCATTGATGAGTAGTCCTATACCCGGACGAAACGACTATCTGTCAGTGCTTCCAGGTTTCTATTGGTGGTTTAACAATAATGATTGACTGATGATTTCAGTGTGTTAAAACCATTGCTAGTGTATCAGTTACCCGTATGACAAATTGTGATGTGTACATAAGTTGGAGTGTTTGAAAATTCTACTTGAAATCACTATTCTATAGGAAGTCTTTTTTAGAATTTTGCTATGAATACCTTCACCGTGTCATTTTGAAAGATCTACTGAAAATGCTTAGTGTATATTGCAAACAAGGGGGGATAACCAATAGAGAGGATTTCTCATCAACTTTATCTTCTTTGATCATACGTAAAATTTCATAAGGATTGAACATGAAATAGTTCATTTTAGGGATTGAACGATTGAACAATTGTACACATTGAACAAGATTACAGAAATAAACTCATACTCAATTGTTTACGCAAAATAATCCAGTGAAATTTTTTTAACAAATTCATCTGTTTTTAAACTTTGAACAATACATAATCAGAATAATAAGGCCTCAAATACATCTTTTGTAGTAGTAGTAGTAGTAGTAGTAGTAGTAGTAGTAGTAGTAGTAGTAGTAGTAGTAGTAGTAGTAGTAGTGTAGTGAAGGAGAACACAGGTGAGGGCAACCAAGTTGTATTTATCAAAAATTACAGAGTTACTCAGTAAAATCGGAAAACCATATCGTAAACGGTTAATTTGCAAATCATCAATCCATCATCAATCCATTGTCTGACATTCACTATTCATGCCTTTCATACAAATCCCATTGTGTTCCCACTCTTCCTTTCTTGATCTTCCCCCATCTTCTGCTGCCAGACATTACGTTTACACTCACGTCATATACTACTCATAAGTAGCGCGCACCACAGTAGTAGTAGTAGAGAAAATTTACCATAAAAAATGTGTACACGTTAACTTCAGACTTTTATTTGTAAAACACGCTAATTATTGGTTGTCTTCTTCCATTCGTCTTCTGATCTTTCTAAAAAAAACTTTGACCGCAGTATACATTCGGATCTGACAGAGCACGACATGCTACTTATAAGCCATGTTGCAAGTAGTATTCATCACTGTAGAAAACTACGGTCCAATTATAAAAAGGGGGGAGAAAACAAACAGTGAAATGATATTCATTTCTAAAATATTAAAATTATGTAAGGTTAAGGGTTCAAAAGATCAGATTTTAAAGAATCTCTGTCAAGATTCTTTAAAATCCAATCTTTTGAATACTTAACGTTACATGAATTTAATATTTTAACAATCAATGTCATTTCACTGTTTGCTTTCCCCGCATTTGTTAATTGCATCGTAGTTTTCTACGGTGATGAATACTACTTGCAACATGGCTTATAAGTAGTATGTAGTGCATTGTCAGATCCGAATGTATACGGTGATCAAACGGTGTGTTTTTTGTAAAAAGATCAAAAGACGCATGGAAAAAGACAGCCAATAATCAAACTGTTTTACAAATAAAAGTCTGAAGTTAAAGTGTACACATTTTTTATGGTAAATTTTCTCTACTACTACTACTGTGGTGCGCGCTACTTATGAGTAGTATATGACGTGAGTGTAAACGTAATGTCTGGCAGCAGAAGATGTAGGAAGATCAAGAAAGGAATTTGTATGGAACGCATGAACAGTGAAATGCCAGACAATGGATTGATGATGGGTTGAACATTTGCAAATTAACCGTTTACGAAATGGTTTTCCAATTTTACTGAGTAATTCTGTAATTTGAAATAAATACAGTGCGGTTGCCCTCACCTGTGTTCTCCTTCACTACACTAATACTACTACTACTACTACTACTACTACTACTACTACTACTACTACCACTACTACTACTACTACTACCATTATTATTACTACAAAAGATGTATTTGAGGCCTTATTATTCTGATTATGTATTGTTCAAAGTTTAAAAACAGATGAATTTGTTAAAAAAATTTCACTGGATTATTTTGCGTAAACAATTGAGTATGAGTTTATTTCTGTAATCTTGTTCAATGTGTACAATTGTTCAATCGTTCAGATCCCTAAAATGAACTTATTTATAGTTCAATCCTTATGAAATTTTACGTATGATCAAAGAAGATAATGTTGACCTAGAAATCTCTCTATTGGTTATCCCCCTTGTTTGCAATATACACTAAGCATTTTCAGTAGATCTTTCAAAATGACACGGTGAAGGTATTCATAGCAAAATTCTAAAAAAAAGACTTCCCTATAGAATAGTGAGTAGAATTTTCAAACACTCCAACTTATGTACACATCACAATTTGTCATACGGGTAACTGATACACTAGCAATGGTTTTAACACACTGAAATCATCAGTCAATCATTATTGTTAGCCCACCAATAGAAACCTGGAAGTACTGACAGACAGTCGTTTCGTCCGGGTATAGGACTACTCATCAATGGTTGTGTGTATCCACGACTCCTGCCTTTTGCAGGATTCGAACCTAGGACCTTTGGTCTTGCGCACGAATGCCTAACCCTCTGGACAGGAGGAATATAACATATATATTTTTGATGTTCAAAATGAAAAGAAGGAACGTGTTGAAATACGCTCACATTAAAAATTACTGAATATAAGCTATTGAATAAAGACAGTGTCAATTTGGGATTCAACTGAAGAATCGCAAGTATTATCAGAATTCGACTAATGAATATGAGCAGCTAAATACTTTAGTACCGTTTAGAAGTGAGTGTAGTTCGCTATTCCACTCTAAATGAACTCTTATTGGCCATGTATATATAAAATAACTCTAAGGGTAAATCTTACTTGCTGATTTCTTGTGGTGAAGTTTTAGTTATCAAGTCGAGAAGACAAAAAACCAATGACCTTGATGAGCTTTAATCGATTTATTTGGATACAGAGAATCCACGTAGATGAGATGGAAAACATTAATTCCTAACTAATGGTACACGTCAGTTCCACGATCCTAACGGAACAGTGTTAGTCAGTGGCTACAGTGGAACAACATCTACTTACGTTGCTCCACTACATTTCGAATGAAAACCTGTAGATCGAAGGCTCAAACAATGACACCTTTTTCAGTGTGAGTGTGGTGTGAGACAATGGATTGATGTTTGACAACAGGAACAGTCAGTCCAGTTCGATATGATGAACTGATATTTTGCAAATGAACAATTTACGATATGGTTTTCCTATTTTACTGAGTAACTAACTCTGTAATTTTCGTTAAATACAATTCGGTTGCCCCACCTGTGTTCTCACTTCACTACATGAGTACTTTTACACCAATATCTCAATCAGTCCACACATAAGTTCATTAAATTCATGCAACACAAAGATTGATAATTAGGTACACATTTTTTTTCAAAAGATATAAAATATTATCATATTTACCTGTTACAGAATAAAATTCTTTTAAATTTCCTCTTATCAATTGTAATTCATTATCAACAATTTGTTCATTGAATTGTAAATCACAATCTTCACCTACTGTCGGCCTCATCATCGCTGTCGCTGTAGTCGCCTCCGCCGCAGTCGATGTCATCATCTCCTGCCTGCTTCCATCTTCAAATAATACTGGACACTTATAGTAATTACTATTATTATTATTACTATGATGATCAGTTAAATTACTTTGATGTAAATATTTCCGTTTCAAATTAAATTTACTATCATTCATTTCATTCAAATGAATCCGATTTTTATTGTGTTGATCAATAATAGATAATGTATTTCCATGTTCATTGTTCAATTTCCATAATCTACCATGTTTATACTGATTCGCATAAGTAGTATGTTTTGATTTATCTAAAATATCCTGAATCATAAATGAACGACATGGATCTGTGTCATTTAGTGTGGTTGTTGTCATTGTCGCTGTTGTTGTTGACGATGACGATATCGGTAAACATGTCGGAGATATTGTAGATGATGATGGCGAGGAGCACAATGATGATGTTGATTTCGGTGAAGTTATTGACATTGTTGATGATGATGAGGATGATAATGTTACAGTCGATGAAGAAGTTCCCGAAGTAAACTCATCCATTCTGGATTGATTCAAATTAGATAGTACACGTAACGATGTTAATTCCATGAATATGTTAGAGAAGTGGTTGTTTTGTGGTTAAGGCAATCTACAGTGACAATCTACATATTTATTTTTATATACACATATTGTTATCCCCTTTGATTATAAACTCTAGTCAACTTTTTCACAATAAAAACTAACTAACTACAAATTGTTTGTGATAATGATAATAATTATTATTATTATCAGTATTTTCCCCAATCATGATAAACACACCATGATCGTGTACTCAGTTTGTCGCTCGCTCACTCACTCACTCGCTCGTTCTCTCTCTCTCTCTCTCTCTCTCCCTCTTCATTTAAATATTGCCATGAAAGGGTTAATATTACTAATGGACAATTTGAGTAGTATTTAATAGGAGTGGTAGTAGTAGTAGTAGTAAATGTTGATAACTGAAAGTATTTATCAGCAACAACAACAAAAAAATGTGTACAACAAATTTCCCTGTTTGTTTATCCAACCGTATGTATGTTGGGAAAAATGTTTTTTGTACGTTTTGTATGGAAAATGTGTGTGTGCGTATGTGTGTATGTCGGTTAGCAGGGGATGTTGTCAACGCTGGGAAAGAGGAGAGAAATTCTCATAAGTGAGTGAGTACAAAATATTCACTGGAATTTTGTTTGATTGGTTAAGACATAGAAAAATATGTTCATTTGTATCTCTCATATTTGTATATAGGGCGGTAAGAGAGAGTAAGAGGATAGATGTTATTGACTAATTTGAGATGGGAAACTGTTTGTTACAATTCTATCCTCCTCTCTCGTTTTAATGTTCATCCCCATGTATGGTAACTTTTGTAGTTTGTAGTGTGTATGTATGTGTTCTTGTGTACTAGTTTACAATACATAGAATGTTAATTTGTTCCGTTCACTGTTAATCGTTATGTCACACATCCTGAGTGTTTATTTTCTCTCTATCTCTCTTTCTTTCTAGTTAATTGGTTCGACAATCCTAAATGATATAATAACTGACAGAAATAAACAGTAATATATACAACAATGTCTGTAATTTTCAGGCAGAGTTATGGAGATTAGTGTTTTTACACATTTGAATTCATCAATCAATCATTGTTGTTAGACCAAAACCATTAGAAACCTGGAAGCACTGAAAGACGGTCGTTTCGTCCTAGTATGGGGCTCATCAGCAGTACGCAACCACGACTCCTGCACCTTGCAGGATTCGAACCCGGGACCTTCGAGATTGTGCTCAAACGCCTAACCATCGGACCACTGGGCCTGAATCCAACGGTGTTAATGTCTAACTCTGATTGATCTACGGATTTTGCATGGCCTCACCCATTTGTCTTTGGTAGTTACTACCTACAACAGACAGGGTTGAACACCATTGGTCACGTCTTCTCAACTAGAACTCCGAGAATTTCCTCACGAAGAAGCTAGTCACTAGTGTGAGCACCGTTACGATATTTTCAGGCCGAGTTTTGGAGGTTTGTGTTTTTACACATTTGAAATCATCTATAATGTCTATGACAAAAAATCGTACAATCTACTCACTCTAGTAATGAATAGCTTCGCGGAGAAATTCTACTGAGAATACGTGACCAGTGGAGTCTAACCCGTGTTGGGCGTATGCAGTAACAACCGAAGACAAATGCGCTAGATTGATCAGAGTCGGGACACTTACACCGTTAGATGCCACCGGCTTAGTGGTACAGACGTTAGGCTTTCGCGCGCAAGACCCAAAGTACTGGGTTCAAATTCTGTGAGTAGTAGGAATCACACACACAGTCAATGATGAATCCTATAGCAGAACGAAACGGCCGTCTTTCAGTGCTTCCATATTTAGAATTCAAGTCTAACTTTGAGAGAGAAATAAGTTAGTCTCATTTTTTATACTGAATTTAGATAACCGTTGATCAATCTGGTCGTAACAGTGAATGGTAATCTTTTGATGCTTATATAACACTAACTCTTCATCAAGATACTTGGTTAATTGATTTTTATGTATTACGTAACATAAAACAATTACATTGTTTATTGTAATCCTTTTCTTCAACCAATTGCGCAATAATATTGTGACATTGTACCCTTATTACATGACGTAATTAATGACAACAATAATCAAAGCTCTCAGTCAATCAATCAATAGCAACGTACAGCATCCTACGTACGTACGTACATCAGTTCAAGTTACCATACAACATTAGCACAGAGAGTCGCAACTGTCAATTCTGATCCCATAGTAGTAGAGGTAGTATAGAAATATCAGCAGTAATCAGAGAGGTTAGGATTAGAAGATATTATTCAAGAAGTAGAATATGATGAAACAGACTTAAAAAGATAAAGATAAAATGATGAAGAATTAAAAAGTTTAGGGTTTGAGAGAACACAAAGAATGAATACACCTGCGCTATTGCAAACGGTTTTCATCCATGTTATTCAGGGTCTCTAACCATCGATTACAACCATGTCGCGGACCCCAACCAGGTAGCCTACATCTATCAACATGACTCAGTCTACTTGTCAGTGACTTCATTCTTGGATTTGTGCCATGTTTTGGTTTGGCCGCCCCTAGCTTCCTTCCAACTTATTCCCACACCGCGAAATATAGCTGGATGAGACAGTCGGTGGTTGGGCGTTCGTAACACATGTCCCAACCACCTCAACTGATGAAGTTGAAATACTTGATCTATTAACCTGCCTTCTTTATCTAGCACCCGTTTCCTAATAACAACGTTGCTTACTCGGTTGTCCCATGATACACGAGCAATGCTTCGGAGACACTTATGATCGAAAACCAGTAACCTACGAATATCATCTACTCTGACTGGCCATGTTTCACAGCCATAAAGTAGGACTGAGCGAACTGCTGTGCAGTTCGTGTCTCAGCAAATTACCAGTCATCTAAGATATCTCAGATTGTACTTTTTCAAACTTTGTCAAGCAATAGTTCGTAAAACTTTGATATATGCGCCCAACTAGATTATGTGATTAAATAAACATAATTAACGTGTTAAAACAAACAAAAAAGTGATAACTTTTTAAAATATTTTAATGTTAGGAGACAGGTAGCCGTGATATCGACGCATACCGCTCCATGAGACAGTAACTACCGAGGACAATGGAGTGAGGTTGCGTAATATCAGGGATTGATCAAAGTCAGATTTTAACACCGTCTGATGCCGAATCACCCGTCTAGAGGTTATGATTTCGACTTCAAAACCGAAGATCTTGGGTTCGACAATCGCGAGTGAGGGTTCATGGACACTGACTACTAATGAGTCTCCTACAAGGACGAAGCGGTTATCAGATAATCAATGGAAACCAGATAAAACAGTGATTAACTTGGAGAGATGATTCTCTGAATCCTAAACAGAAGCGATAACTATTTGATATGCTTGAATGCTATTACGAGTTCACCTTACTCGGTAACGGAACGAAATCAGTGACACGATAGGCTATTCTAATCCGTTTTCCCCGGCCCGGCTAACTAAATCAAGAAGTCTTGATAAGGCGTAACCTACGAGGAAGAGTGTTGGGGACGTGTGATCCCCAGAACACACTTGGAAAAATTCCTAACACTGTAATTTATTTCTGAGATTTAGAATTTTTTATGTTTTCGCGCATAAGACGCCTGGTTGACCTTCAGCTTACATTTCCCACTCGGAAAATCCTTGACTGTCATTGGTTGATGGATGATTTTAGTACGCTATTTTGTGGCACTCATCAAGGTCGTTTTATCATTGTATAAATAAGCTTCAGTTGCGTGCTTGTGGACTTCGTACTTTCTGGTTGCCTGTAGAACACATTCTCTACGTCTTGTCAAGACTTCTTCCTCTAGTTAGTGGGGCCTGAGACGATCGGATTAGAACAGCCTATCGTCTCGTTGAAACACTGACCTTGGTTCCGTTTACCGAGTAAGCTGAACTCCTAAAAGCACCCAAGCGTATCAGCGTATCAAGGAGGAAGACAGAGGGCAACACTGCGCCGAAAAATCGTGACAGGCATGAGAAGAATGAACAAAAATTGAACAGAGGTGAAAGAGAAAGCTCCGGACAGAGTAGGTTGTTGAAAGCTGGTCGACTGTCTACGCTCCATCAGCGGGAGGTAACAACAGGAAGTATGTTAGTAATTGTCTTAGCACAGTGTTTCTCATTTTACTGTACCAAACGGACTGGCTGTATGGATTTAAGAAAATAGTTCAAGTCAATAATAGAGACGTTAACAATTTAAATTAGGAACTGATTAATAAATATGAATGATAAATCGATTTTGTTGTAGTTATCCCACATTTTCAGGATGTTCTTTTATTGAGCATTGATCCATTTCTATCTCCCTTGAACAATACAAGATCATATTCTTGTATGGGATGAATATTGAATGTCTAATATTTTTAGTCTCATACGGAACAAGCGTATTGATAATTGAATACTAAGGCGGTCATTTCAAGTTATTAGTAAATATATAATCGACTAACGTAAAGTCTCTCGTAAAATACTTTTTTTTGAAGAAGTCAGATCATTTTCGATATCAGCATTCATGTAAAGTATCTTTTTTTATGACTGATACTGAGAAGACTGAAGCAGGCGAGGAAGATTGTATTATGCAAATTTACACTCTGAGTCAGTTAAAAACAAAAACATTACATTGAATACTCTATTTGCACACCATCTTTGAGTCGTGACTTCCAACACTCCATCTTTCTTCCATTCCTGTTGTTGCTTCCTTTCCTTCCTGTTGGTATTCCATTCACTTCTTGCTTTTGCTCCATTTGCTTTCCGTTTTCCTCTGCTGACCATGAGACTTCTTCTTTCACGTCCCTTCTTATACTACTTATATCGTTCGTATAAGTAGCACACATCACAATACTAGTGAATTTTTCGTCAGTTTGAGTGGTATGTTTTTTTTATCGAAGTAGTCGTAACTGATATTCAGTTTCCAATTGTATTCCATTTTACCCAGAATAGATCAAATTTGGCAAGCGTTGGAACTCAGGACTCCGTTTACGTCCTACCCGGAACTCGTCAGCTGAATACACCTATATAAACC